ATGACAACGCTCGACCACATGTGTCACGTGTAACGTCACAAAAATTATTGGAGCTTGGCTATGAAACTTTGCCTCACCCACCCTACTCTCCGGACCTCTCGCCTACTGACTACCATTTTTTTAGACACCTGGACCACTACTTACAACACATAATATTCAAAAATCAAATGGAACTGGAAAATGCATTTATTGACTTTATCAATTCTAAAAATTCTGAATTCTACTCAGACGGAATTAATAAGTTACCAACACGTTGGGAGAAATGTATTGAGAGTATGGGAAATTATTTTGATTAAAGAACATTGCTTTAAAGTAACTAGTTTCTTTTTTTTTGTTTAATACCAAAATCCTGCATTATTTTCCGGACAACCCAATATATGGCAAGATGTCAATGGGAGTCTATTGATGGATGAGGAAAATCAATTCGTAAACGCGTCAAGAAATTCCCCCTGATAAATGAAAAAAATGAATAGATCAGCCATATTTCAAGCATGTATTAATTAGAGAATTTGGAAGTCTATCTAGTCATCTATGCTATTCAGATTTCCAGTCAGTTAAGAAATTGGGTGTAATCGGGATGTAGAACGATTCTGACACTTTCATAAGGAAATGCTTCCTGTCACTCATTATTCAAAATCAAAGAAAATGGGAATGGGCTGAACAAACATCCTTTTTTTTAAACCGATTTTAATCTGAAAAAATACTGACCAAATAGATACAAGTAAAAGTGTGACTGGGTCAAACAGCTGTTTATCTTTTAAAAGTAGCCGTTAAGCGGTTTTTATCATGTTAAGCTAGTAGATTAGAAAAGGATAAGTAGTTTTGTATGTATATCCGTGGTGTTATTATAATCTTGATCGTAGGGTTCTTCAACCTTTTGACCTTGCGGATAAATGTGTCAAGGAAGTGTCTCGTTTCCGAACAAAACAAGGTTTACCTGATGCTCGGCAATACGCCATGCAGAACGACTATATTATCTTCGTGGTTGGCGGATATAACGGTACGCCGTTATCAGAGTCGCTCTGCTTGCTAGAACTGGAAGACACTGGCTTTTTCCCCCGCTTTTTTTTTGTTGAACGTTTTTTTCCCTTAGTGGCACACGGGTTTAACACGATCTCGAAGGGATCTGGAAAAGGTACGTGTGGTTGGAAAGCTGAGTGTGAAGTTTCTCTTCTAGTTTTTTATATATAAAACGATTGATGTGACACTCTCGCGTCAACCGCAATTGTGACCATTACAAGTTAACCCATGAAACTGATTTTGTTTTATGCTACAAAAAAACTATACTGTTTGAGGTTCTTAAATTGAAATATTAGTCGTGTTGTTAGTCACACTTGGTGCAAGGAGGCTCCACGTTATCCACTATCCCACAACTATGGTAAATTCTTTCACCGTTATGTTTTCGTGCTTCGACCGTTCACTATTTTCAACTTTTAAATAGAAAATCTTCCCTCAACTGTTAGAATTATTGAAGCAAACCGACGGACTGATACAGTTTTTATTTATATACATCAAACCAACCGAAATTTTAAAAGCATATGCTTAGTCTTTTCTTCTTTAAAAGGTAAACTTAAAAGAAAGCACAGGGATATGAACAAGAATGTAAGAGGTAGATAGTTACATACAGATAAAAATAGATACGTACATAGACACAGATAGAGATAGATAGATGCAGACAGGGATAGATAGATAGTTTCAATACAGATAAAAATAGATACATAGATACAATAGAGATAGATAGATGCAGACAGGGATAGATAGAAAGTTTCAATACAGATAAAAATAGATACATAGATACAATAGATAGATAGATAGTTACATACAGATAGAAATATATAGATGCATAGATAGATAGATAGATACAGATAGAGATAGATCGTTACATACAGATAAAAATACATAGATACATAGATAGTTAGAAAATATCAATAGATAGATAGAGATAGAGATTGGTAGATACATAAGTACATACAGATAAAGAGGGATATATATAGTTACATATAGATAGAGATAGATACATACATAGATACAGATAGAGATAGAGGTAGATATACATATACATACAGATAGAGATAGATAGGTGCATATAGAGATAGATAGATAGTTTCAAAACAGATAGAAATAGATAGATACATAGATAGATAAGAAAGATCAATGGATAGATAGATAGAGAGAGAGAGAGAGAGAAAGCGTGAGAGAGAGAGAGAAACCGTGAGAGAGAGAGAGTGATAAAGGGAGGGTTGAATAGAAAGAAAGAGGATCGTATAAAAACATGAAACTTTTTTTGAGAGGGTTGATTGATTGATTAGTGGATTAATTATAGTCTCAGTGATTTGAAGTAGAGAAAGATAAATACATTGACGTAAAGAAATAGAGACACAGAAAAAACGGTTAACAATAACTTTTCATACTTTTTACTTTTCACATATTTCATGATCAAATTTACCAAGGTACCCTCCCAGTAAAATCAAAAATAGAAAGAAGTAAGAAAGAGATATGGAAATGTAACATTGTTTAAAAATCAATTTAAAAAAATAATTAGGAGACATTTTTGTGTTTAATATTTTTTAAACTAATCTAATACTTTATTCAGGACTAGAGCCCCTACGAATCACAAAAAGGTCACACAATTTTTTCATACCTGGCACTTGAATTAATGAAATTTTGACGTTAAGCGTCAAGTAAAATAAGTTGAACTAAATCTTTTAATGGAAAATATAAAAAATATGGTTAATATTACCAATAATAAGAATTTAGGGATAAATGTAATAATAAAGAACTCTGTGTTTTGCGGACAGAAACACAAACTGTAAACTTAAAAGTTGAGAAAAGGAAAGTAACAATATTTCTAATGTAGCAAAAGCATCAAATAATATTGTAAACTTTGTTGGCTCTATAGATGAGGTGTTGATAGACGAGGTATGTAAAAGGTATGATTGGCAAAATGACAGAATTCCAGAGATTTGTGGGCCGAGTTAGGAAGGACCTTTCGAAAATGGAGGTTTTAAAACGAGGTCATTGGGAAACGAGCGGGTGTTAAAGGTTTTGAACTGAAGTGACTAGAAAATACAGTGAGCCCGACGAGAGTTCATGGATTGGTAAAGGAACGAGCCTAGAAATACTGTCTACGGAAGGAGGTATAAAGCCAGGATAGATTTGAATACAGGTGTGAGATTTTAGACATTCGGGGGATGCCGAAAATAAATCTAACAACAATTCATCAGTTTTTCAGACGCTCTTCTTGTTCTTCAGAAAGTTCACCATAAGCGATTAAGCAACAGAGCTGTTGCCGAAGAGAGGTGAGGGAGGAGAAAAGGAGTTTACTAGTGGTGAAAATTAGATGGAGCCAGGACCGGCGGAATTGAATGAGGAATCCGATACAGCGTCGGGCAATTTAGGAAATTTGTGGTTTTCAGGAAATGTTTTGATCGATGGTTTTTAACAGTGGAGAAGAGGTTGTTGATGATGAAAAGAGAGATGGGGGAGGTATTTCAGGAGGTGACATGGATAGAGGATAGACTGCGTGAGATAGAAAGGGAATGAAAGAGATTCAGAGTGATATAGGGAGTAATATAAAAGAGCGCGTGAAATAGGGAGAAAAACGAAAGATAACACCGACTGATAGTAAAACAGAAGAAGGGAAAAAGTAGAGACAAGAAGAGAAAAAGGCAGGAAATAAGAGCGAGAGAGATAGATCATAAGAAAAAGAGAAAATAATTACAAAATATAAAAAAAAGATATAACGATTGTAAGTGGGTGCTGAGCTAAGGCGATATGGATTCAGAATTAAAAATACTGATAGTAAGATAATCATAGCGACTAAGGTAGAAATGTGTGACATCGTGGTAAAACAAAGAAAAGCCGTGTTAGTGAGAGTGAGCGACGTAGGATGAGAGAGTGAGAGAGTGGGATTGAAAAAGACAGAGAATGAGTGAGAGCGAGGCAGATAGAGAGAGGGAGGGATGAATAGAAAGAAAGAGAACAGTATAAAATTATTAAACTTTTTTTTTATAGTGTCATTGGTTCAAGAGAAATTCAGCCGGGCCACCTAAAAAGGACACCATATATCTACGAGGTTATACGAACCCTCGGGGTGCCGGTGTTTTAGGGAAAAAAAATTTATAACTAAGTCGGGTTCGAAAACAGGGCTGCTGGATTCGAACCTGGGACCTTTACCTTACAGTGATGAGCGCCGCGTGAACCCGTGCGGCCAAAGACGCCCCAGTTAAATTTAACAAAAAGAAACTAACAAGATGGAAAATAATATAGATACATTAAAAATAGTACAATAAAAAACGTATATATGTAAATACATTAAGTGCTTAGTTGAAACTATTTAGTTGTCAAACCAGTTTATAGTAATTCGATGTTTTTTCTGTTAATCAAGATAAATGGAAGCCGAAGTTCTTGGCTTGAATCCCGCTCATGTCACTAGCTTTTTCAACTCAACCAAGAACTTAGATAAAAGTAATAATTAATTGAAATAAATAGAATTGTTCTGTCAATTGATAAGCCTTGAGTCTTTACTTGTACGACGATTCTCCAGCTGAAAGAAGAACCGTTCGTCTTTTAAGCCGGTGATGAGAGTACAAAAAAAGGTAAAACAATTTCTCCGTACCCGAATTCCAGTAGGTAAGTAAAAAGTAGTTATAACCGGCGGTGTCCAAAATTTCCCGTTGCTTTGATTAACTAGAGCCGCTTGTTTCTACAGCCTCTGGGATTGAATTAGAGGGTTATTGAAGTGGCAAGGAGGATCGGAATTGGGTGCATTCCATAGGGTTCTACAGGTCCCGCCTGGTCGTAATCCACCGTGACATTGTCCCTCCGATATACGTGATCCCTTCCTTATAGCGGTATTCCCGTCATTAGTTTCTCATGTCGGCACCCGGTGAAACTAGTCTCGAATGAACAACATTTTCATGGTGGTCGGAGGACAGTTCGTACAGCAGGTTCTATACATTCCGATGTTTATTGACGGAAAATAAAAAAACGTTAGATTGTTACGTTCAACATCTGAGAATTAAAACATGCGGAATTGTTTATTTAAATTCTCACCTTCAAAATTTAAGGGCTTAGGCGATAAAAAATGGTCGACTACAGTAAATGGAAGTACCTAGACATAACCGACGACGAGGACGAAGAACACAAAGTCACAAACTCACCGTATATAAGCAACAAGAAAATCAAGCCGGATGAAGAAATACTCGACAAAGACGATCTCGAGAGGGCCAGGAAAATGAACCAAAAGAAAAGAAAAGAGATAAAGGATCTACTGGCAGAAGGGGAACGTGTGGATATAGCCGTCATAAGAGCCAAACTCGAAGAACTAGAGAGGGCGGAGGAACAATTGGCCCAAGCGGAAAAAAAACTAAGGACGAAGAAGAGAACATCATGGACTGTGGCTAAAGGGAGTCACCTCGGTTTTACAAAAACGTACATCAACAAACCGCGCTCGAAAAAATACGGAAATGTTGAGGACGAAATAGAAAAACGCATGCATATATTTGTAAAGCATAATAGAAAACAACTGAAGGAATTCGCCACGTTGAAAAACTGCAACGACTGTAAGGAATTTTTGTTAGAGCATCCTCATCTTGTTTGCGAAGACGCTGAAATATACTTAGTCATCTGGGGCATCACGTTACAATTAGAAGGGAAACAATTCTTCTCCCAGCATTTAGCCCGTCAATGTCTTTTTATACATTTCATTTTAGAAATGTCGAAAAGGCTCGATGCCGACCTCAAAACCTGCATAATCTCGTTTTTCACCAAGATACAAATCTGCGACGAAGAGTATAAAACTAATTTCGAGACTGAACTTAACACTTTAATCGGCCGGATCAGGAAGAAGGCTAAAGAGAAAATGGACATAGCCGTACGGGAACAGGAGGCGGAAGACCGGGAGGCGAGAGCGGGCCCCGGTGGCCTGGATCCGCTCGAAGTCTTCGAATCTCTGCCGCACTTCATGAAAGAGTGTTTCGAGAGAGAGGACGTCTCGATGCTTCAAAAGATGATTGCCGAGTTGCCGGAAGAAGAGGCAGCATATCACATGAAAAGGTGCGTCGATTCCGGCCTCTGGTTGCCCTCCGGTGCCAAACGTCCCAACAGATGCTACGGCGAGCTAGGTCGGGAAGATACTGGGAACACATCGTCTTCGAGCTACTAGTTCCTGTCCAGTTTAAAACTGTCATCATCCCTTTCGGGCTGGTACTGTTTTATGTCATTTGTCTAATCCTGTCCTTCAAGCTTATAGAAATGAATTTAAAAATAGGACATATGGCCTATAAATAGCAAACTCACACATACAACACCTAAAAAATACTTGTTCTCTACACAAGTCACCTTATGTCTTATAGACATCGAAAGGCGAGAAGCAGGGAAGAAAACGGCATTTTTTCGTTTCTTACAATAAATATACCAAGAAGATATTTTTTAAATAAACTTTTTTTTTTAATTTCATCTACTCGTTGTCAATAAAATGTATATAGCTATTGCTAGGAACAGGCTAGAAATGATAGAAACATGATTTATAGATTTCCCCTTGGGTTCTACTGAGTGGCGAACTTGTAATTTGGATGCGTTAGTGTAGAAAGGATTGTGTAGGTGAATTGGACTATTTTCTTTTTTAATTTAAATAATGTCACATCGTATTGGACATCAACAACAACATATTAAACGTTAACCTTGTAATCTATCATAAAAGCCGATAAACTATATTTCAACAAATGTAAAAAAAACCAACGGCAACCAATATCTTTCCCCCTGAGATCTGTGTGAGATGCGCGTCGGTTTGCCATTTTTAATACTTTGGTCCGCCTATTCTCGCTGGTCTGTTGGTGTGTGTAGCTTTCTTTAATTTGTACGTCAAACATAGTACTAGTTATGTTGGTGACATTTTCCGTAGTGGACATCAGCCATACTAGACCTGAACATTTTGATCTATCGTAAAGACTGACTACAAACTATAGATCGACACGTACAGAAGAAATACGATGTTCCTCTGGAGGTATGCAAATTGATTACCGTAGTTTCGTTCTCTTCAGAATATTTTGTTCATCCCTTCACTCTCTGTCAGAATCGTTTTGGCGTATCACCATCTTCATTGATGTACCAGTGTAAAAAATAATATGAAGGTCTATTGACTTCTTTTATTTTTTAATTTTTACGATGTAGTGGATATCAACAACTTCATACTGCACCAGAATTTGTTGACCTTACTATCAAAAAACGGGCAAACTATTTTCCACATATGGAAAACCAATGAGTATATACTTTTTAGGAAGGGGGGTTCTGCTGAGGATGAAGACAAAATACGGCTTTCGATGTATTTTTTGGCTATTTTTATTATTTAGGTCCATTATCATCGCTGGTCTGTCAGGTACGTCTTGGCATCTCGGCATCTTCAAAGTTGTGTCAGTGAGGAAAGGTTATATAGGTTTACTGGACTTCTTTTCCTTTATGGTCTGTATGTCACATATATCTTTAATTTCACTTATTTCGTGGTCCGCTTGACCAATTAATATATTGCAATTAATTAAAAAATGGCAAAAAGGAGGGAAAATTCAAAAGGTGGGGTTGAGATGGGAAGTTGGTGTCCGAGTGGATCGAGGTCACGATAGCTCAAGTGGTAGAGCAGCGGCATATCAAGCCGAAGATCGTGGGTTCGAATCCCGCTCGTGCCATTGACTTTTTTTATCTCAACTAAAAACCTTAATTAATTGTAATATATCTTTAATATCGATTTGTTGGTGCATTCTCCACAATCACAACACCAATAACATAATAGACCAGATTTTTTTTGATCTGTGCAAGTCTGTGAGCCATTTTGTTGGATCTCGCCATCTTCAGTGATATGTAGAAAGTGCTTATAGATGTATTTGACTTATTTTCTTTTGTAATTTTTATGATGTCGTGTAGCTTTACTAGAAATGCGTTAGTGATATTCTCCTCTAGTGGAAATCAACAAAAGTACCATATGAGACCTGAACCTGAAAAGGAGAAGGACGTCTAGTGGTTTACTAATTGTTTTAGTTTTATTCAGTACAATTTTAGCAAGACTAGACATAAGAAAACAAACGAATAATCTTGAGGTCCGCGGGATGACTTTCCTCTTGGGGTGTTCGGAATGATGTAGCAATAGTTTAGTTTTTACGAAGATTTTCGTACATCTACCTTACCTGGTCTGTCTGACATGTTTTTTGAACTCTCTATCTTCAGTGATATGTCAATCAAGGAGTGTATAGGTGTATTTGACTTATTTTCCTTTTTAATTTTTATACCGTCATATAGTTTTAATAACACCATCATGTCCCTATAATGGATATCAACCTCAACTTATTATGATCAAACTCAAACACTAAATAGCGGCAGTTACTAGTAAAAGTCAGGCAAAAATAGAACCGCTAATCAAAGAGCATATAACAAAGGCTACAACAGAACCAACTCACTAGAAAACAAAAGACACACAAACAGAAAATATACCACGAACATACAGGGGAAGAAACCGACAAAGTAACGTACCTAATTAGCAAATTAGGCATAATAACTGCAGTGAATAAAAACCAAACAATTAGTAAACCGCTAGATACTCTTTTACTGACCCTGCATTGAAGATAGCAAGAAACCTGAACACGTCTGGCAGACCATAAATACAAAACGTTGAACCTACGTTTAGGCATCCGTTTATATCTGTATTTTTCAACCTAGATTAGAATTTTATTTTATGATTTATGATCTCTTTCAGCTTCAATGATAAACCGCTAACGAAATATTGTCTGTTTCAGGTAAGTGCCAGATTTCGTTTTCGGACGTGGAACACCCGTGGAACCCCGGTGCGAAGTTGCGCGCTCTCCGAGATGTGGGTTCATGTGGGTGATTCGGTATGTGGAGCAAAGGTTAGTGGCATGCGAGCCCGCATTTATAACCGGAGGCCGGCTCCCTCCACGCCGGCAAGACAGGAAGCATTCAAGTCTTGACCCGAACGCCGTCTGACCTTGTCGTTCGTTAAACTCACTCGGACTTTCACGGTCTTCGTTCCCATGGCGGGTGAGCTTCCGGTGGGAACTGTGAAACTAAGAACATCACCTTATTAAGAGTTTTATGATACAGGCTTTAATTTTATTTGGCATAAAGAGACGTTTCGGTCCATCTGTTTGAGGTCATGGCATGCAACCTAATTATTATGAAATTCTCTATACTATACCAACAGTATTCAGAACAACTATCGATATATAAAAAAATCCTTCTTTAAGCAAATAATCAGTTATCTTCCAATCCTGTAAGTTTGTTAAGTAGCTTAAGAGTAAAAAAACTAAAAGTTACAGCATACATTTTACAAATAATTTCCATCGTTCAATCAAGGATTCAATATTTACGAATTTGTTATTGATATTCTTTTCGGTATTACCATAATCTAATAATCTAAAACAGGACAACGAAATGGTTGTCCTTGTTATGATTGTAAAATATCTTCTTGAAATCTTAGTATGATGAACATTTAGTTAAATCGTTTTCCTGTAACCTTGAAGATGGATACATAAATAAATAAATATATACAAGAATATAACGATCGATATGCAAATAAATAGGCGGATGGGCAAAGTGTCACATGGATAACTAGTCAGGATGAGTAGATAGTTGTATAAAAATACATCGGTAGAAAAAATGGTAAATAAACAGGCAGATGGATATCTGGATGAATATCTATGGCTATTTATAATAATAAATCAAGAAGCACAAAACAAAACTCAAAAGATTGCGGATTGCGAAATCGCGTCTGAATGACTAAAGCAACAAGGATACGATCATAAAATCCCAAACTACAGAGCTTATTTAATATTACATTTTTAGTAAAATAATAATATAATCTTGAACACAAACCGCCAAACATTTCTCAACATATTTTATCTTTTTTAGTTGTGTTTTGCACCATTAATGTGGCAGAATTTCAGTAATTAATAACAGATCAAACTACCTCTTGGCCCAGTGCGTGCAGAATGTGTTATTTACATTTTTTCTGAATATTTTGACTTTTCAAAACCTAGGGGAGTCTTTTGTTACGGACATACTGTAAAAATGATTATGATTAGGCAGTTTTTTATATACTGCTTGATCGAATTTTTATCGTACAGCTCTGATGCGAGGTCGTCTTACAAAATATTTTTCTTATTCACTATTTTCATAATCCACAACGTCTTTGCTCTAGTTTTATTGTCCTTTAATATAATATTGACGTTTATTAACTAAGAGTTTTGGCACAATTTTATTGAAGAAAGGATATTGGGAACTCTTACAGACCCCTCAAGCACTGCAGATTTGTATTTCATTTTAAATTCTACATTTAAAAAATAGAACATTGTTCAGTTCTTATCAAACAGAAAAATAAAGTTTAGTTATTAAATGAATTATTAGTTCAAAATTTTACGAAATATCGTTGATGACACCTTCGTTATTGTTGAAAATTCCAGAAATGTCATTTACTTTAGATCATAAAAGTTTACAAGAAAAAGCTGTTTCTTCTTTTCTAATATTTCGAAATGGCAGGTATTCATTTTCATCCATGTAGACATTAATTTATTGGTTCTAATGTACACAAGGCACTCTGATGAAGTCTTCTTAGCCAGTATCACATTTATGCCTTTTTTCAACCATTGTGTCTAGTTATTATTCTACCCATAAGGCACGTAAGTACAATACAATTATTAATTGGCCATTGTTTTACAGTAAGAACAACAGAACTTGTGGCTCATCATCCAGACTTCTGTTTTGTAATGTAGTTAAAGATTTTAAATGTACTGAAGATTCAGTATTTATTTTATAGTACTTTTCCGTTTGGAAATGAGAAAATGAAGCAATGCTGTATTTAATAAGATGATCAATCATTGTCAGATTTTTATGTAATTAATCCGCATGGTCATTGTATCTGAAGGATTCCGACTGTCCGACAACAAAACGGAATTTGTCGACGCGACAACTCGTCCGACAATTGATTATGAGTTCAATCTTTAAGACCGTTAGTGATTTTTTATCTTCCGTTGGACAAAAGTCCTTTTGTCCTTAGAGTCTGTTCTTTTTGTAAAGGTACGGCAATGACATATGCTTTCTTTCAACTCACACGCTATCCAACTCAATAACAAACTTTAAGGATTGGAAGATTGTCGGAAGAATAATGGCTTTCACAGAAGAAAGATAGACTTCGTTCTTTCACCAGTTTCTTTTGATTCTTTGGTGATCTTGGTAGGTGATCTGTCCGAAATA